GGTTCACAGACTCGCGGAATTTCTCTAAGTCCCAAGAGGGACACCTCGAGAATCGCACTAAGTCCGCAAACTCACGGAATTTTTCTAAGTCGAAAGTAACTTTACCGATTTTATTTCACTCGCGGAGCTCTTTTGAGCTATGACCGACTACTCCGAGCGCTGGAGCTGAACTGTACTGTTCGCTGCGGCTGCCGTGCCGAGTATAGAGACGGAGTTGGATGCCCAGTGGTGGGAGGTAGTGGGGATGCCGCGTTCAGCGGTGAGGCTTATTGCCTGGAAGTGGGGGTCGAGCATATCCCCAATACTGTGTATCCCGCTATGCCTCTATACATTTAGTAATTGTACAATGTTTCTTAATTTATTTATTGTCTTAACTATTGGTTAATTGTTTTGGGTCACTTTTTGTGTCTTCATCCCTAACAGCAGTCGAAAAAGTTTTCCCACTCTGCGTTACATTGATTACAATTTTTTTCTCCGTGACATTCGTTGATGTTATAATTATTAACAAGATTTATTATTCGAACTTCGACAGATTTTTCAAGTTTTTATTTTTTTTAATTGTTCCAATATGCCTTCTTTTCATAATAACGTAGGATTTTATTGGTTTCGGAATTCCCACAATTCATGTTGCTTCTTAAATTTTATTCCTTTTCGGTGATTTATTTAACTGTTATAATGCGATCATCCTTTGTCGTACTGGGTGCCAGCCTGCCTTCGCCTTGCGGGTTAGTTCATCTATAATTTGTTTAATATTTGTAATCATATATTTGTGGGCTCCTTTCTAGTCCCGTCCTTGTTTATTTTAATTATTTAGATTATTTAATCCGCACTGCCAAAGTGACGACTACTGTTGTTTTATCCATCAACAGTTTCAATACTTTTTTTATTCAATTCTTTTTGAGCAATATTTGCATGTTTTAAATTATTCATGAAGTGCAAAATGCTGAATGAACGAAGAAAGCCAGAATGGAACAGTTTCATGTTATTTTAAAATTGATCTGTCGATTAGAATAATTGGATTTGCAAATTTTTGATTTTTAGAAAGTTTTTCTTCTGAAAATTTTTCAATCACCCATAACTCCGAAAATATTGATTTTACGAAAAAAAAATTGGAACGCTTTTAGATTCGTTTTGGGTTGAACTTTCGACGGAAATCATCATATTTGCGATTTTTCAATTTTTAATAATTTATCTTCTGAAAATTTTTTTCAATCACCCATAACTCTGAAAATACTGATTTTACGACCAAAAAAACTAGAACGGTTTTAGATTTCTTTTGAATTCATCTTTCAACGGAAATGATCGTATTTGCGAATTTTTCATTTTTAGAAATTTCTACTTCGAAAAAATGCTTTTATTCTCTTGTACTATTCTTTCCTATGCGTTTTTTATTTCAATGATAATTTTTTGACTGTTTTTGGTGAACGTATTTGATCGATACGTAACACTATCCAGGGACGTAACAGTGGTAAAAAGCGTTTTTTAATTTTTGCTACATAAGAAAATTTGGATACGTTGAGTTCTTGTGAAATTTGGTAAAGTTAGTCGTAATGACAGTCGTAAGAGACCCTTATTCGCTATGGATATGTGGAATTGTTACCAGGCAGTTGTTGAGGAGTTGCCTCATACAAATAACTCGGTGGAGGCCTGGCATCGAGGGTTCAGCAGTCGAGTGAGGATCGCCCATGCTTGCATTGGCAAATTTATTAACGCATTGAAGGAGGAGCAAGGAACTACCGAGGTTGTGATCGAGCAGTGGAATGTGGGGTGCGATATTGAGTCTCGAAAACGTAAACGTTATGTTCAATACGAGGAACATTTGAGTCGTGTGGTTGGTGATTATGTTAATTGATCTACTTTAAAATATTTGAAGGCTATTGCTGCTAATATAATCTTTTGAAAATGATGTTTTATTTTTTCATTTTGATATTTATTAAATATAACGGAGCCTCTATTTATCTGTGTTTTTTATTTTGTAATTCTCACTTTTAGGTTTTAGTAGAAGGTTGTTTGACGAGGTTTTTTCTGCATTCAGGTTTTTTTGGTTAGGTTTTTTTTGTTAGGGTTTTTTGTCGTGAGGTTTTTTTGACCGGGTTTTTTGATGCAAGTTTTTTAGACATGGACCCAGTCTTTTAAATCAGACTAGCGTCACGGCACCGATAAAACAGTATCTTTTTGAATTACGACGGTAAGCTAAATCATCTTCCCCGTAACATCGATAGTTTTTGGTAAATTGTTCGTCGCCTGAGATCCGTAGATTTGTGACATTCACGAATTTTTTCCTTAGTCACATTTAAAATCATCAAGAGCTACCGTGGTTCCAAGCACTCTTTTTCAAACAATTTTAAAGTGTGACTTCTTCTTTCTTTCCAAATCTAAAACGCTGATTTTGGAAATTCCGTCGGTTTTATAAATAATAAAACCGGTCCTGTGTGTTATACTCGGTGAGGCCGAAAGGCATTCAAGCCCACTGTATTTATCAACAAAGTCTAACGCCCAGAGGACCAAAAATTACAGCTCTGGTTGAATAAAAATTGTAAACAAACGAGAACAACTGTAAGTAACTCAATTACTATTTTATAAATTTCATTTTGTCATTCGAACTTTGAATTATATAGAATCAAATAAAAGATCACTCTCAATTGTCAAGAATCACATTTTATAACAAGGAATATCAATCTCAAGTTGTACCAAAAAAGCGGCATAAATAAACATTCTGAATAGACACTGAAAATCTGGTTTAAAAGAGTCAAAAGTACCCCTCTTTCCCAGAAATCTTAATTAAATCTTTCAGAAATGAAAGGAATATAAAGACTATTTGCATCTACAAGGAAAAACTTCGACAAACTTTTCGGGAACGAGTCCATGAGCAACACTCCGACTCAAATTATTTTTATTAACGTTAATTCGGAGGCATTTTTATTTTTAACAATAAATAGCGTGGTTTCCCAACCACTAGTCCCGGACATAACACTGCAGATTCCTTTCTCAATACTGATCAACAATCGCTAAAGCAGAACGCTCTTGCATATGCTGCCGAATGCTTCGAAGCGCAAGAGGCCACCCACGCGTTAGCAAGCGGAATTGAAGCTGAGATTCTCACTGTTGTATCAGAGGACTCGGCCATTCCTCTAATCAACAGTAATGAATCAGATGAATCGCTTTCATCACATCATGCATTAAACAACTTATTGGATGAAAAACAGGATTTGATGAGAGAAATCGAAAAATTAAAGGCCGCAAATAAGAAATTACGAGCAGAAAAAAATACCATTACGAGGAAATGCGAAGAACGAGCCTTTAAAATACGAAATTTGCAGTATCGTTTGAAACAAACCCCAAAAATTATTGCACAACCAATTTCTTCGGTCACAATAGATGATCTATTTAGAACCCATGACCCACCATTGCATCCTACCGCAGAGACAATGGTAAGGCTGCCGTTTCACAAGCCAAACACTCCTTATCCCGGAGAAGAACAGGATCTGGCGAAAAAGTTCTACTATCATTCAGCTTCAGCTTATTCGCGTATGCGGCTGTGTAGTTCAGGGTGAAAGCACAGTTCGTTCATGGATCGCTCAGTATGAGATTTTTCGGGGATTCTGCCCTGTTATTTTCCAGAAATTGAATGAAAAAATGTCGACTTGGAGTCCTTTAAATAGATATGCTTCTATGGCCATTCACGAAATGTTAATAATGGCCTATGAGGAGTATTCTTCAAAGTTTGATTGCGTTGAAGGACTTGTAGATCTTGGATCATTGGAACGTAAAGACAAAAGAGCACAATATGTCTTTTTCTTCAATCTGACCAGCCTGAATACTGCAAAAAAATGGCAGCAGCCAATTGCATATTTCATATCTGGAAAAGCTGGAATGACTGCAGAAGATATCCATTTACTCTTACAGGAATGTTTCTGACATTTGGAGGAGGCTGATGTAAGAGTAAAATTATTGGTTTGCGATCAAGGTCCTCACAATCAGCGTCTTTTTGATAACATTTTGCAGGTTAACTATGGAGAAGCTAAGGTCAATATAGGAGGAAAGAATTATTTCGTTGTTTTCGATCTTCCTCATTTGATCAAGCTAGTAGTTGCTGCATTGAGAAAGCACGGTTCGATTTGGCAAGATGGTAAAATCATAGTCTCATGCCATGATTTTACGGAAACATATGAGTTTGACGGAAATTTGGCAACATCCACTCCTCTCAGCCATATTACTGAAATTCAAAAATGCTTTTCTGACCATGAATGTGCAACGTGCTTTCCAAATCTTCGGGCACCGATATGCACAGGCCATCTAATTATGGGGTAATTCTTTGGAAGACTCTTCGAGATGCAATGAGGCGTCAGACACCTGGGAAAACAGCGCCGCATTCACAGAGAAAATGAATGACATTATCGATGCATGCAATTCTGTAGGTGTGCTCGATAAAAATCCCAAGAAAAGATCACTGTCTTCAGACAATCCTCAAATAGAGGAGCTCATTTTTTATTTGATCCAGTGGAGCCGTACATGGAGAATTAAGCAGAAGTCGGGCTTTAAAGTTCTACCTTGTTTCCAAGGACTGCAGCTAACTGGAAATGCTCTCCTTAAAGTGTACAAAGCACTCTCCACGGAATATCCTAATTTCAAATTCGTTACTTCCCGCGGAAATCATGGCGGCCTTGAACATTGGTTCGGTCTCCTCCGAGCTCGGGACGGAAATTGTCAAAATCCCATGGCAAGAATGGTTCGACTATCCACTAGACATGTTCTTTCAGTGGGCTATGTACGCATTGGTGATAAAGGGAAGTCTCATGTGATGATAATGACTTTCTTATGGCGTCGAAGCCATCACGCATTTCTTCAGCGTTTGATAATTCGTCATCATCAATGGAGCGTCCCTACTGAGATGAAGGCTGACGAAACTCGTGATGAAGGGAAACGCCTGAGGCTGTCAGCATTATCTATGAACTCGAACAACTCGAGTAGGATAATGCAGGTCCTAGTCTTCGAGCCAGATGACGTCACTTTATGAAGCCAATGCTATTGCCTTCTTCGCAGGGTACATCGCCTTCAAATGCATAAAGGACTGTCACACATGTAAGGTCGACATGTGCAAGTCACCAATAGATGCTCGTTCTGTGAGCGACTTATACATAGAATTCCGCGAATATGACAATGTCAATGTAGATGCCCCAACTGTAACGAAGCTTACTCGTCCTACTGACAGGTTTGCAGAGTTGCTTGGACTTCAGTTGCGAGTTTTCGATCAAGTTTGGAAGAGGCACTGGAGCTCGTCATCCGTACTCCGCAATATCACTGCCGATATGAGGAAAGTTGTGGAAATGTTTGCCCCCGATTGGTTTGGATAGAGTGACAGCTATTATGATCATCGACTGGCAGCTTTGAGATTTCTGGCAAAGGTTGAAATCTTCTCCAAAACCAAATTCAACAATCGGGGAGCACAAAAGAGGAATATTGAAAGCTTCAGTGGGAATAAGAAGCTCCAGAAAGTCACTCATCAGTGATAACACGTACGCCACTTCTATTCTTCTTTAGTCCTATATCGTACGATGTAGAGGTAAATGAGAACCAGGTCGTCACTGCATGAATCAGTGCCACTGAAAAGTCGGGAAGTGATTCAGATATTCTTGCTAGCTTCTGCTCGCCGCAGCTTCATCTTCTCTTTCTTGTTATTATAAGATTATTCGAAAATCAAAACTACTTGGGGTGCGATTCGTCATGTTAATACAGTACCGGTGATTTTGGCAGAGTTTCTACAACTTAATCAATAATCCTCTTTGCTCGGTTTTGGGGCCTAGGTCCATCACTGGAGTGGTTCAGCACCTGGTTCAACGGATCTCATATGGGTAGGTTAATCTCATAAGGGAGGTTATGAGCCTCATCTTCTCCGTATCGAAGTTTAATCGAAAGGACATCATTCGTTACTTAATTCATCATTCTAAAAGCTCTACTGGTCAGACTCGACCCACGAAACTTTCATTTTTTTCCCCATTGCATCATCACAAGCAGCTCCTAATTTTTAGTCTTTCTCAGCAAACTTTTCTAGCCTATTAATAATTCTCTCCGGCATTAGCCAAGTAACGTATCCAGGAATTTCAGGTAGATTTCGATTATAGGAATGTTAATCTTCCAGTGTCTCCGCAAAGCTCGCTCATTTTTCAATTTCAATGCTGGTTTCCATTGCCCACTTTATTGTTGACTCATACTTCACAGATGCTACAGGAAATCTCGTAAGACAGCAGCCTTCGACCAATATCGTGAGGTTCTCTTCAAGTCCTTACGGGTTGCTTCGACAATGAATTTTATATTCATCTCCATATTGCCCGAGTGATTATTATTTCTTCATCTTACTTGACAACCCCTCATAATTTGAATTTTTCGATGGGTAGATGCTTGTTTTCTCCAGTTGGCCAGAACAAAGTTACGAGGTTTCAGATTTGAATTTGATTAGTTACAGCTCGTCGTTCGATTATCATCAATGCATGAATTCCAAGCTCGTCCTTGATTTCGTAAGTGTTTTCAGTTCGGTAATGATTATGCGCTGGTCTCTCACAATCACTTGATTATCTCTCAGAAATCCCCGAAAGCTGATTCACAGTTTGCAGCGGATGCCATGAATATTGTTCAGTTGAATGGGAGCTTCTTGGCCGAACCTTTTCTTCCATAGATACCAGTAAACGGTCAACGCTGCAAAATAGTAGACTAAGAACATTCATGTGCTTTTTCACCATTTTTTGGCGTCGAATGAAATAATGTCTATCTGTATTCTATGAAAGAGTAGGCGAGAGTGCCAATTTGGCAGAAAAACGTAGCCGAATCCTATCCACATAACTAACTCGAAATTCGGTATGTACATTATTAAAATACGGTTCCATCATACATTATTTTAATTATTCAATAATAACCCATTGAATGCTTCGCATTATTTCCAGAGCTTATAATTTCTTGTAGTTTTAAGTGGCGAGTGATGTTGATTGCCTTCTCGTGGTACTCCCTGAAAACGAGTATATCAATACTTATTATTATATTATTACTTGTAACGTGACGTTTTCGTATAGGGGTTGAAAATGCCCGTCACCATCGCCCTACTTCCCCAAAGCCTGACCAAACCTGCCCAAAATTAAATCAAATGGGCGCCAGGTAATTTTTATGTAATAAACTTAACTAATTTCGATTGTCTCTATTAACGATTGTCAACTCAAAAAAGCATTTTTCCAAAAGGGAACAGAAAGGAAAAATTAGGCTTCGAAGAAAGGTAACGGTCCTGGTTCGCGCAGTATGCGGATTATGGAGAGAGGGGTGGATCTTGGGTAGAAACGGGGTATTTTGGGCATGCCTCATCATGGGTTAAATTACCATGCAAATCAAATAAAAGGAAAAGATGAATAGAGTCTCTAAGAAAACGTAATTTATTCAATTAATACTCTGAGGTAATCCCAAAAAGATGGGACTAGAAAAATTAATTATTAAAGGCTATCATGCGTACCCTTGTTACCACCGAAATTTTGCCTGCAAAGATTATCGCTCGGCGATATTCTGAGGAACATCTTATTCCTAATTTTAGCGTGCCGGGAAAGCAATGATTTCCCGGGATTCCTGGAAAACCCTCAATTACCCCCGAATTGTAAATCTGGCATTCCGGGGGGGTCGTTTAACCACTTGGAAAACAAAGAAAAAGGAAAAAAAAGTAACAAACACAAAAAAAAAATGTCGACTCCTCGGACTCGAATCCACTCTGCTCGTGCCTGGAGAGAGTGAGAGAAAGGGAAAACCACTGGTCACAGTTGGCCGTGGAAAGTGCGTCTTCTCAAAATCGCTTCCAATGCCTGAGATTCGGGGAAATCTCAGGAAAAATACCCACTGGCGTGGCCAGGGGAGCCTCTAATATTTTGGTGAATCATTAGCGAGGGAGAACCTCCCTCGAAAACCCTTGAAAATAGATGGGGAAATTCAGCCAAAACCGGGGTCCCTATTTTTACTTAAAAACCGCACTAAACGAGGGAAATTCCCTCGAAATTACCCACCAACATGATCAGGGGAGCCCCTCGTATTTTGGGGATTCAACTCGGACAAGGCCATGACATGTCGTGGAAATATTCGCGAGAAAAAAAGGTAACAATGCACGTAAAACTTGTCAACGACTTCCCAACTCACCTTTTGGGGGTTTCCTTCCCTTTCTAGTGGTCTTCCTCAGGGCTGGGCAAACTCTGCTCTGAGAGCAAGTCGTGCTCCCGACCTCTATTAGTGTGTAACAAAGGGTAGACGAAAGCCCATTGTATCGGGTGATAGGCCTTTATGACCCAGGTCGTAACGGCCCTTCTCCTCTGCTGAGATCAACCGAAGTGGGGGTGTCGCTTAAGAAAAGGAAAAGAGGAGAAATGAGACTCAAGTAAAAGAAAAGCAGAGAAATAAGTCGATGAGAAAAATTTCAATTTTTTTTCATGTGTGCATTAAAAAATAATCAGATGCGCGACAAGTTTTACCCTTCCGGAGGATAAATTCTTGCCAGATGCTTCATGGGATACTCCCCACCTTAGTACCTGTGAAGCCCCCACTCCTGCCCCCACTATGCTAGTACTAAGACCCTTATTATTCAAATGGTTGTAAACTTTATTGGATTTCTAATTCGAGTTTATGGCTCTGCTCCGAGCTACCTGCAGATTGCCCATGCCTGGTCTTCCTGACCATAATCCTTCTTAATTAATCTCACGTAATCCTCACTATCGCTAGCCACAACACGTGTTCACTTCTCGCCACGGTCAACGTATTACTGCCTTGGCGAGGTCAGTGTAACAGGTGGGTTACTCACAGCCGAAAATCAGACGCGCTCTGATTGGCTGGCGTTAGTTCTGCGTTGAGACGTGGTACCTCTAGCGCCAATTCAAATTTAAATTCGTAATTTAATCACTCTACTATTTTATTTTTTAATGTTTCTAACTTAGGTTCTAACTTTCCTGGGGAGCATGAATGCTAAAAATCTTTCTTTCTTTACCCATAAATCTAAAATTTAGGATTTCCTACTAATCTCGAAAATTATTCAATTTAATCGCTAACCCGTAAGCAACCTGGCAATCCGAGGCGAATAAGGGTTGCACTTATTCCCCCCGGCCTTCCACCAAAAACAGAAACGTAAACGTAAACGTAGCCCTAAATTCATGCTCCCAATAAATCGGAACGTCAAATTTCATTTGAACTCGCGATGTTTTATTTAAATGAACGGATGGCTCAATTTTTGGCCCTTCTTCACGGCATTTTAGGCCCTTAACCCTAGCCCTAGACCCTAAATTCTCTAACCCTAACTAAACCAGGGGCTCAGTGCCCCTGGACTCGATGATCCCCGTAATGTTTTGTGGATGGTGGTGGAGGGTTTCGGCAGCAATAACGGACATCCCCACATGTCCGTTACATACTATATCCCTTCAACGGATAGGCTCCTTACACGCTCACTCAAAAATTCAAAAATTCAAAAATTCAAAAATTCAAAAATTCAAAAATTCAAAAATTCAAAAATTCAAAAATTCAAAAATTCAAAAATTCAAAAATTCA